GATATTAATAAGGAACCAGCAGATCAAGTAGCTTTTGGAATAAAACACCAATTTTTTTAAAATTAAACACTATCTAAAGATTTGCATCGAAGCGTTTATTTTTGATAGTGATTTTAATCACTGTCAGATATCATTTACTTGATCCAACTATGCCACGTCACCACTGTGCCGCGACCCCCCTGTGCTGGGTTTTTTATGATTGTGTTGTTAATCACTGTCTGATATCATCTATACATGTATCAATATTGCCATAACCCCACCAATATGATTTTTGTTTTACCTACAATAGTTATTTTTAAGTTTCGAACTCCCCTTGTATAAAGGAAAATGGTCCGATTTAAAAAAAAAGTATGTCGAATGAAAGAAGTATATAAATAGTATTACTAATTAAAAAACTGTATTGATTCATACATTTTCAAAAAGTTATAGAAATATAAAGTCAAAATTGTAAAATATAAAATCGATAATTTTAACACAAAAATAGCATACGGTAGCCATTTTTACCGTGAAAACAAAATAAATATTGATTTAGTAATTTTTGAAAAAGTTATGGCAGTTTTAAGTAAAAAAAATTGAAAAAATGTCGAAAATTGGCGATTTTTAAAATTATAATTTTTTTGGAAGTTTCCCCCATTTACGGGTAATAGGGAAATTTTATTCAATTTTTGAGGGTTATGTCTTCGACTAGATACGATTTGTGATATTTTGACGTATCATTGAAAGAAATCGGTTTGGTGAGAGCTGAGAAAAAGTGGTAACAGACACACAAAAAAAAAAAAAACACATCATAATAAAATTAATACCTTCTCAGCTACGCATCGAAGTTAAAATATGGTTCTGAAATAATATGTTGAATTTATATAATTATTAGTTACAAGCAAAATTTTAAAATGTAAAAGTATTTTACATAGGCGTTTTTGTGAAAATAGGGTGTAAGAATACACTATATAATGCGCTACTTATATCAAATTTTCGGTCAGGTTAAATGATTTTTTCCACACCCTAAAAATATTTTCGTATAATAATAAATATAATGTTCTAAATTTTTGGGTGCAAACACCCAAGTTATTCCTAATTACGCATATCATAATTTTTCGTTTTGTTTCAATCATAAAATGTTCATATCTTAAACCTACGAACTGTATTTTTCGAGTTAAAAATTATAGGAGGAAATTTATATTTGATATATAAATTAAAAATTAAGTAGTTTTTAGGCACTGTTATACATAAGTATTCTTCTTAAATATTAAAAAGAAACGGTATGATTCATATTAATTTTTGAATATGGGTTGAATTAATTGAGTAAAAAGTAATATTTGAAAAAAAAAATAAAATCCCTGGTCAATACAAAATGTCTCATTAATTATTAGAAACAATTTTATCTATTTAAATTTAATTTTTCTAATGTTTCTATATGTAAATGCAATTTATTGAGATGTGGCTTAAAAATTATCTTTCCTATGATAAGCTGTTGTATTGACTGAATTATGTGTAAAAACAATATGACTTTTAGTGATTTTACATTAATTTTCTCTTGACAGGCGTATTTTTAAAACATTTTTTAAAGCTCAATTTTTGTCATTTTAATTTCCGTCTCACGTGTTTAGGTGTTTCTATGAAATTGATTTTGGACTTGACGTTGTCACCTTAAGATCTGGATTAATACACGTGACTGCCATTTTCGCCGCAAGCCAGTAGAAAGCTAATTAATTCTCATTTCACTGTTGAGTGTGTCTTGAGATGGTTCTTTGGTGGAACATGCTTCCAATCGATGACTTTTTTCGTTAAAATTAATAGAACCTGTACCGCACATTGATAAATGATATAGAGCTAGAGTTATAGTAATGAGTCAAATTCCTTGTCGTTATTCGTCTATCAAACCACATAAGCGACAAATTGATTTTTTTTAATGAAATGGTTTTGATAACGAAACTTTAGTGATTTATGGGTAAAGGATTAAAATTGAATATACTTATACACAAATGCGTGGAAAAATTATAATAAATAAAAATGTTTGGCTCTCATTTGTATGATATAATAAACTATAATGTTTAAAGTAAAACTTAAAATTTCTTTAAAATTCCCTATCATAAAAAATAATATTTTCAAAAAAAAAAAAAATCTACATTTTAAAACTGCTATAATTTTTTTTTTTAGCTTCAAAACGAAGCTGAGAAGGTATTTTAACGAAAATTTCAATACAATTTTATAGAGACAAGAAGCTCTTTTTTTTCAAAATCGTAAATTTAGAAAAGTTATTAGAATTATATAATAACATATTTTTCTTGAGATAATTTTTTACAATTTAATGTATATTTCATAGGTATTTTGTGAGAGGGAGAATAAGAGAATATCATTTATCTATAACATTAATTTTTCTTGAAATTTTCTTTATGTACATTGGCGTTAAAGCGTTTTATTACAGTATTGTTTATCACTGCCAGATTTTAATCTATGCTGAGTTCCGACCGTACTGTTATTTTATTAAATTAAATGCATGTTTTTCATAAAATTAATACTTATGTTCATGTTTAATCTGTAAATACAGTAAAGACCACGTAAAAAAAATGTTTGAAATTACTTTAATAATATACAAATATATAAGTTATCTATTGGTTAGTTTTAACATCGACATTGTGTTATTATTATCCATAATTGAATAATTATTTAGCATTTTTTTAGTCATACTATATTAATTGGAACAAATGTTAAGTATTCAAGGAAGAAATGAATGACTCAATATTAATTAATCACCTAGTAGGTTTAATGCAGTTACTCATTTGTAATATTAAAATTATTTTAATATTAAAACAGTTTTTAGAATATTATATAAAAATTTGTGGCACTCTGGTAAAGTTTCAAATTTATAAAATCAAAAATTAATTTTTTTTTTCTCATTAAAGTAAATTTACATTCCTTATCTTCTAAAACTCAGAATTGGTGATGTGATTTAGATTTGGTTAAAGTTATTTGAACAATAAAACTTAATGATTTTTATCAAAATAAATTAATAAAACTTAATACAGTTGAGACGTGGCATACTTGAAACAAGTATATATTGACACCTGGCAGTGATTTACATCAGTATCATAAAACGTTTGGATCCGAAAAAGGTTAACAATTATTTAGGTCTGTTTATTTACATTTAAAAAACAAGTATTAGTGGACAATTAGATAAAAATAGAGTATTTTTATACTTTTATGGACCAATTTCAACTAGTACTATATCGATCGGTTATCTATTATATTCCACTATTTACTTTGTTTATATTCTAAAACGTATAGAAATAACCTTGCATGTATTAGACCTAGCTATGTGTGTATAGGGCTAGACCTTATACAAAGCCTAATATAATTTTGCCATATTATTGGTTTCTATCTTATAATAAATTAATGATATATTTTAAAATCAGTTACAATCATAGGTGTAACTAGGAGGGTCTTGAGTACTGCCCCTAAATTGAGAATATTATATTTCTTGTAATATACAAAATGGTTTTGAAGGGTTATTAATTTAATATATCTAAAAGTTTTTATCAAAATGTGCCCATAAATATCAATAAGCTATTAAATGAACATTTTCGTTTTAACTTTCAATAAAATATATTGAAGCAATTAAAAAAATAATAATAATAAGTTATTAAATTATTTATCACTTTCTATACTGTCCTCCTTAGCTTGAAGGCAGTTATCGAAATAGTAGTTTTGAGAATAACGACTTAATCTGAATTATTCAGTAATTTTTCTTGAATCAACAATAAATACCGATTATGGTTTAATACAAAGTGAAATGACTGTATAATATGATCAGCCATTGTCGTGTTATTATGTACATGTCCGATATCGTTAATTTGCTTAAAATTATAAAAGTGTTTGAATACTTTCGTATATTTTAAATAAAATATATTATAAAATTTATATCATCTACCCTATATTTGATAAGAATTAAAAAATGCATTGTATTATTATGAGTATTTTGGTACAAAAAAGTATCTACGAAAAGAATATTTTGTAAAACAAATGATGGATGTGTTCAACAAATAATATTTTAACATGAAAAGTGTAGATTTATTAGTTTAACACTTATTTATTTTTTTTTATGGATTTCGACTTGTGTTTGATTGACTAGTATATTTAATTTGAAACTTCATAGAATTTCACGGCTACGTTTTCACGGGAAAAATGAAAAGTTAAGTATGAAAATAAATAACATTTTCAATTTCAGTTCTTAAAATGAAAATCATTTTCTTACTAAATTACAGTCATGAAATAATTTTGTTTTTGAGTCTCTATTTTGATTTATTGTTGAATGTATTGTGTTCTTTTTTACTCGAAACATTAATGAATGAAAAAGGCAATTGCATCACTACTTCCACGGCGGTAGTTAACTGTCAAACGTTCAATTGTTATTCATGATTTTTTTTCCGTCGAGTTTAAACTCAATTAAAAAATAATTAGTCGGGGAGCTATAATGAATAAAACAAAAATCGATCCCTTAAAGAATATCGTAAGCGTGGTCGTCGCTAACCGTCAGATGGCGGAACAGAGGCACGTTTGATGTCTGTTGTTCATCCCTTTATTACCATCGTCATCCCTAAAAGCGTGGAGAGTTGTTAGTGCGCCACCGTCACGTTCGAATCCCTTTACAACGTTTCTTGCTGAACGGTTGTCGTAATAATTCGCCGGTAAACCGTCACGAAAATATTATTGCATACAATGCAAAGGATTTATGGGTTTTTTAGTGAACATTAATCTCTAAGAAAGATGTACAGTTAAGAGGCCGAATACATTAGCAACCATGATAACGATAATTGATTTATTAGAAAATCCAAAGAGTTTAACAAAAATATTAAAACAAAAATATTGACAATTCTTTAAAATTTTACACACAAGTGAACGTAAATTATTATTTTAAGAAAAACATATATAACATCTTCTATGGAGTTCCACCGATGGCAAACGACCTGGTGGTGCATACTTTCATTGACGGCAATCATTGTTTCGGCTACAGTAGGAATAGGTGAGTGTATATCAATAATAAAAATTGGAACTTTAACAAATGTTTCGATTTTACCTTTTATTTTTGAATTTTAATACAAACCTAATATCAATTTGATTACTACGATATATTAACTGTGGCAAAAATTAGTCCTAATAATTCACAAAAGTGTTTCATTATATTATTATTTAAAAAATGTCTATAATTTAAATAAAATTTCATCAAACTGAAATCTTATTTGTTTTCAAATTAGATTTTGGATAGAATTTTAAGTTATAACGCATAATCATTATATTCACAATTGTTATAATTTAAAATGTTCAACATAAGTACCTTTTTTAAAAATATAAAGATAAATATTTGTTTAAAGTCGTAAAATGTTCTTAATAAGATTACACGTGTAAGTAAAACATAAATGGTTGTATTAATAATAAAAACATATGAAATGTGGAAATTGAAAGACGTGGAAATTGCCATCTTTAAAATAGCTCTTATCACATATTTTATTACTCTTCCTCGATTTTCTCGAACCCATGGGACCATTTTATTCTGCTGAAATTCGAGGTTGTACTCGATTCGAGATTTTGCACGACTCTTATTTGAAATGTTTTCTTTTATCTATTTTATTTTCTCACCCTTTTTCTTGGTTTTATTATCTGAAAACGGTTTCAGTTTTAGATTTACGTGCTCTGATAATTTAAAAATACTACGTGGTATTAAAATTGAGCCTTAAAAACCTCTACCAGACATTTAGTTATAGTACATTGAGTAATACATTAAATGTAATGGTATATATTGTAACGAGTATTCGATGTAAATTTAAATAAAAATTTCATAAGTATATATAAAGTTGTAAAGTTAGATTTTTTGACTAGATTGCTTCGATTAATATATAAAAAGACAATAGCAAATCATTTAATATAATATCATAATTTATGGCATTACATATTTATTAACATTTTAATTAATATAAGTTCATTTCGTATAACTTAATATTTTCAGTCACAGAACTAATTTATAACTATTCAATCTTTTTTTTTATTTTGAATATTTTTTATTTATCAATATTACAAGAGTTTTTTTTTAGACTCACAAATAAGTATTCATTTTTGAGATAGAAATTTAACATATTCTAAATTTAATAATTCTTTATATTTTGTAATTATAAAAGAAACCAATTAAAATATTAATTATATTGTTGGTTAAAGTATCCTGAGTTATACTTCAATATGTATTTTTATAAACTAAATATAACTAAATTTTTTTATTAATTAAAATTAAATTATTTTAGTTTAGCTTTATTTTAGTCAATATATTACAGATTTCTAAATTAAAGTTTAGTCCTTATGATAAAGTCTTTATAGTTAACGTTATTACATATAAGACACTTAGTGTCATCTGAAGGCTATCCGAAAATTACATTTATTGAGTTCTGGGGAACGTTACTTAGCAGTAGATACAAGAAAACTTACTGGAAAATCTATTAAGATGTATCAAAATGTTTTCATGGAATTGAATGAAATATTTCATTTGTACGAGTAGTGATAATAGAATTAGAAACGGGTAATAGACTAATATGCGTCATTATTAATTTATAAATATACGTCATTGATATTCGCTACAGACAAAGAATCATTTTGTATTAGTCTAATCGATAGCATAAGTTTTCTGGTAGGGCATCTGGCAAATTTCCATCGAATTAAAGTTTTTTAGCGTTTTATAACAATTTTGAATTATTACTGTTATTATATTATCAAATATATAATACATGTGCAAAATTATAAGTATAATAATATTAAAACGATGTAAAAAAAACAGAATAATAATATTGAAATTGTATCGTTTACGAACAGCATGAAAATTAGAGGTATGAAATAATTCAAAATTAATGAAAATAAAATATTTGTAAAAAATTGTTTGCTATAATCTTATAGACAATTGTAGAATATATTTAATAAAACTATAAATGAATATTTTCTTAAATTTTTCAATTTCAATTGTAAAATAATAATATTTAGATGATTATTAATCGAGTCTAAAATATTTTGGTTTCCTTGACCAGAAAATGACTGTAGTATTTAGTATATAATATTAAAGTGATATTTAAAAATAGAACAATCATTTTTCAGAACGTCTGAATGAACGACTAAAGTCAAATAATTTTCTATTACTACAATATTTTAGAATCATATAAGAAATACCAAGAAATATTGCCAAAATAATATTCTTAAAAACTAAATATTCTCATAACATTATAAATTTTTATCTGTGTAGCATTTTATATTTTTGTTATTTTAACTTAGAAAACAATATTATCCAGATAACTTTAAAATCTAATTCTCAAGAACAATTCATAAACTATGAAATAATAAAACTAACAAATTATTTAAATTAAAAATAGTCTTAAATTTGAAAAGTTAACTTGTTATAAATTACACCTTAAAGACCTAAATGATAAAAAAAAATATTATATTAATATTTATAAATGCTAATAAGTGATAATTAAAAATATTTTTTGTACATAATTCTAATCTCACATACAAAAAACAAATTAAATCCTTCTCTCGTCTTGATATGAAAATATTAATGTCTTTTAAAGTACTCGTACTAGAATTTAAGTAAACTTTTATTTTAAGAATTATTTTAGCGTTAAAGTATTGTTAATATGTCACAATTAATTTATACAAAAATATTTAAAAATATATTGAAAAAACTCAATAGGACATATTGTAAAATCAACTAGTATTTTTTTAATTAAAAACCCTAGTATATTCGTTTTAACATGTTTAAGTGTGAAAAGGTAGGTTTTTAACAGGTACTTGCTCATCTATGTAATTTGTTTTAATTTACCCACTTTATTTCACAAAAGTAATTTAAATAAGTCTGTACACATGAACGTAGGTAAAAATGTCATTATAAAGAGTACTACACAATCAAAATGATTTAAGAGATCTTAGTAGAACATTGTTACCAAGTAGGATAAATTTTAATACAAGTTGCTCGAGATCAGAAGAAATAACATGTTAGACATGTAAAATTTTAATTTTTATGTAATTTTAGTAACAACTACTATTTTTCCTAGTTTTCATGCTGTAAATGTGGTTTTTAAAGTAGAATCAGAATATAGTGATCGAAGATTTACTATAGTATAGTCAGTTAGGGAAATTATAAATATTTCAAAATATTAAATAAGACAAATCTATTCCTAACAGTTACTGATAAATAATAAAATAAATTGAAAATTATTACATCGCCCTTTTTAATGTTAAAAAGATTAGTTTATATCTTTTTATTTCCCGAACTTAACTATCTTCAGAGGGTGGTGGTTATTTTTCATATGTTTGAGAGTGAAAATTGGTTCTTTGATAGTCTAATGATGGACGAGATGGGTATTATGGACAGTTAGGATTAGAGACCAGACACTACCAATAAAACGACTAAAATTAGTAAATATTAATTACTAATAAGTTATTAATAATTAATATATAATACTTCTACGGCGTGATTAGTTATTACTTATTACACCGTAGGAATCTATTACTACGTTTGAATTATTATTGATAGTTAAATAAAAAAGATAAATGGGTACCAATATTTTGCAGAATTTTTAATTAATTACTATGCTTTAATTTTTTAACTTTATAAATTACGATATAATGAGTAAAAAAACATACTTGCATGTAATATTTTTAACAATTAAATAGTTGATAATAATTATATGGCTCAATAAATTATTGCTTTAAAACACTATGGCAAAATTTATAAAACGAATTTTCTAGATAAATTGGATAAAATTTAATTATAAGATTTGTATAGAATATTTGATTAACGAAAATCAACTTCGATGTTTAATTAATGTTTTTACTGCATGGTTTTTAGATATACAAGAAAGATTGTTGAATTGTACTTTAAGACAAAAAGATCAACAGTTTAAACTTGTTAAAGATTAAACTGTACCGTACTTTATATAATAATAAGCAAATAATGAAACAACTGGATTATTTATGATTTAAAAAATATCAAAGAAGAATAAATATTTTTTTTCGATTATAAAAGTATACTTATAGTGTAATAAAAATTCAATTGAACTTTAGAGCAATATTTTTATTGATATCAAAGTAGATATCTACAAGTTTTGATAGATACTAATTCAAAATAAACTGTAAGATAAAATAAATAATGATTAATGTGTAAACATGGCATAAACATAGTTTGGTTTTAACTAAAATGGAGACATTTGATTGCAAAAAAATTACCGTAAATAATATCAAGAAAACTATAACTTTATAATTTCATGTTAATTTAACTTCCGTATATAGTGAAAAAATATAAAATTTCACTAACTCATTGTTTATTTTGTAATTATTTTTAGTTGTAATTCTACTATGTGTACACCCCTACAAAGTCTAAATTTAATAAATGGTACTAAAGTAACGCTACACTAGCACCGCAATTGTGGTAAATAGTATTTGAAGGTTTTAAAGTGGGTTTTGTAATTAAATGTGCAGATTACAAATAATTATACACTTAATAACAGTTGTTAATGAAATTTTATATTTTTTCATTCATATGAAGATGTTAAAGTAATGAATTTGTATAATTTTTATTATATTAGAGTACTATTACTTAATTGCAAGATATTAATTTGAACTTGTTTATAACATAAATTCATATATCATATTATATGCGAAGAAAAACTGTATCCATTCTAATTTTAATATATAATAATACTAGACAAATTGTTTCAAGATTGAATTATCACCTAGTAAATACACATGGTTTCTATTAAATCATTATAACTATTTAATGAGACATATAATGGAATACCCAGCTTTATCATGAAAATCGGATTGCTGATTTGGTCTAAGTTATGTTTTGTGATTAGTCGAGTACTTCTTGTTCAGGGATCGTATTCATTAATGCAAAATACACTAAGAGAGTTTGAAGTTTGCTGCGATAAATGATTATAGCCATTAGTTATGTAGAACTTATTAAGTGCCTTAATACACTTATTCTATAGC